TGTATGTATGTATGTATGTATTTGTCTATATGCATGGATGTAAATATGTAAATATATATATATATATATATATATATATATATATATATATATATATATATATATATATATATATATATATATATATGTGCATGTACACACGTATGTATAAAAGTATGTGCATACAAATGTACTCATGTATTCATCTTCAAGAAAATAGTGTAACAGGGAAATATGTAATGTCCTCTGCATGGAAAGTAAACTGGAAATATATCACCATCGACTCCATTGGTCTTGTTCTTACTTCCCACTAAGTTACGACTGTTATCTAGCATATTTGATTTATATAAACTTTGATGAAGGGTAATATTCATCCGTTATTTAGCACAGGGATGACAATTTCACAGCCGTAGACGCAAAATTACATTCGATTCATATAAAAGCCAAAATATAGAAAGAGCAGAACTGTCATAACATTTCATTAAAAAAAACAAATTATACTCTACATTAGCTATGTAAATGAAATTATATATATATATATGTAACTCTAGATATACAAAAAAATAAAAATAGTGATACATTTGAAAAATAAAGTCTCTCAGTTAATTAGGGATAAAACTCAATACAGAAAACTGTACCCATACACAAGATCTATATACTTTGAATATACATTTTTTTTCCTTTGTAGAAACCTTCTACATTCTACATGAAATTAAACATATAAAAGTACTTCTTAAAGTTACTTTGATAATTTACAAACTTTTTTTTTTATACATCCATTATCATCAGAGGCAATGCTTCCACAAAGCCAATATATATATAATTCACAAAGAAGAGCCATTACCCCCTTTTTCTTTAATAACTCAATCCATTATGATAAAGGGAGACTTCTATTTACACAATGCACTCTATCATGTACAACAGATCTCTGGCATTTTACCTATATCATCTAATACCATACAAAAATCTTCTATTTCTTCATATTATACATCAGTTCTAAATTAACCAGAACTTCTTACTCTTATTAGTTATATGTTTTAATTCCTGTACATTTATTATTTTTTTAAAGATGTGATAAAGGCAACACATACAATTTATAACTTCACAAAATGGGGAGGGGTTAAAAATATCCTAATTTCCTGGGGCGCAATCCCCTAACTGAATCACAGCTCCCATATTGGACTGCGTAATTATAAATAAATATAAAATATAAACATAAAACATAAATTCATGCCACAGTCCAGTACTTTCTTTCTTTAATATCTAGTAATGTGTACACGAAAATTATCTGAAGCAAAAAAACTCTTCTGACAGGTGCCTTATCTAGGGATCTTTTTCTTTTCTCTTTTTTTTTTTTTTTTTGGCTGTCACTGACAAACAGATACCATCTATACACATTTGCAATAAATCTGATAATGACTACAAATGTAGAAAGATCTATATACAAAATCTTCAGGTTGCAAACTTATCCACTTATCTTGTTTAATATTTTGGCTATTCTTGGTGTTAACATTCAAAATGGTAATTTTCCTAGAAGTTATTACATGTTCTGCATTTTCTGAACTATATAATACTACGAATGCCTCTATTGAACTTTTATTACAATCAAATTTAAAGAAAAGTGGTTTAACTATAAAATTCCTTCAGAGTAACAGTACACAAAGCCCAACACATAATGACAAATGGATACATCATACGTGAATATACATGTCTATGTAAGTGTGCGTGTGTGTGTGTGTGTGTGTATGTGTGTGTGTGTGTGTGAGAGTGCGCGCACGCGTGCACGCATGCACATGTGGATGTGGATGTGGATGCACATGTAAATGTGTGTGTGTGTTTGTTTATATACAATCATATGCAAAATGTATATGTACTGAATAAAAATGAATTTTCTAAGGTGACCTGTTACACGAGTTCAGAATATGACCTACATGATACATATACATACATACATTTATAACATATATATATATATATATATATATATATATATATATATATATATATATATATATATATATATATATATATATATATATATATATATAATATACATATTTATATATGTAATATACATATATATATATTTATTAATTATATATACATATATGTATAATATATATACACATATATCTATTACATATATACATATATACATATACATATATACATATACATATATACACATATACATATACATATACATATATACATATATACATATACATATATACACATATATATACATATACTTATAGATATATGTGTATATATATATATATATATATATATATATATATATATACACATATATCTATATATATATATATATACACATATATCTATATATATATATATATACACATATATCTATATATATATACACATATATCTATATATATATATATACCTATATATATATATATATATATATATATATATATATATATATATATGCATATATATATATATATATATATATGCATACATGTATACATACATACATAGATATACATACATACATATATACAAACATATATTGGCGAACTGGCTTAGTTTACCACCAGAAGACAAGTTGATGTTATTTTGATGAATGTTGCATAGGTAAGCGAAAGGGAAGCAAGAAAGGGGGGGGGGGAGACTGCACCAGGAGATGGTCTGGTAATGGCAAATTTAACAGATGAAACTAGACAAGTGGAGAATTAGCCTCCTCGGCTCATTCCACACAGAGCAACAGCCCAAACAATATGCAACCTATGCAACAAGTAGTGACTGTACTATGTGCACTTGAGGAAAGATGGGGGGGAAAAAAAAGAGATGGGAGATGAAAAACTCAAATAGCAAAAGGAGATGGCAAGGGGAGATAAATGGACAGATAAGGGGAAGATAAAAAGATAAATAAATTTTGTAAGTGCACCCATCAAGAGAAACAGTGCAAGAACACAAAGGAAAACAAAGATAAAAGCAACTGTGCACAATTAAATATACACATATATATATATATGGAAGCAAAATCAAGAATTTAATATGTATTCTGTAATAGTGAATACACTTTCAAAGTGTACACTGGCTGCATGATAGGAAAAAAAATCCCTCTAAGGGAATCAGCATGATACAAATAATACCTATAAAAACATGTGACTTACCCAAGTCAGGTTTCCCACGTAGAGCTGATATTTCCGTCCACTGTGAGGCACTGGTCCGGAGAAGACGGCACGTTCTTCAGACGAGACAGAGCGTCCTCTTTGGGCTTGTGTGGGCTGACGTGAGGGAGCGGTTCCTCCATTGCGTTCAGGCGGGGCAGAGGTAGGGCTGGGAGGAGCCTCGCGCTCCCGTTCTCTTCCACCGCCCGTGAGGACCGCATCATACAGGTCTCCGTCAGCAAAGTCATCCTACACAATAACAGGCAGTCGTCTACTGTTAGACTTAAGAGAGCCGCACTGTCAACATTTTAAATTCTCTCACACTCATACAGCTAGAAAAATTTAGGCAACATTACTTGCTATAGGCTTAGAGGATGTCTAGGGACAAGAATACTTTGAATTATCTTCCTAAATGAGAACACTTCTTTCAATTCCTCTATTATACAATGTCATTAACAATCAGTACTAGACATCACTCACAGCCAAAATTTAACAACTACTATGATAGAAAATCAGAGCATACCTACGGTAACTATGTCACAGGGAAGATTTAGTATCAAAATCTAATGGAGTTGAGAGCCTTACCATTGAGTGCGTGCTATTCCCTCACTCTCTCTGACATACTTGCAGTTACATACACACATCATAAGAAAAAGTTGTGCATATGATACACATACATGGACAGTGTTGGTGTTCAAATTTATAATAATAAAAAAGAAAAAAAAAGAAAAAAAAAAAAAAAACGCAACATGCGTTACATTTTTTACTCCTACATCATATAATATTTATAAACCTAAGTTCATTTAATGATCAACACTGCTTCAAGAAAATTGTTACAAGGTTTCACTTGCTTTGTGACAAAACAGTTGATCTACATTTGTTTATTCAAATAGCTAGGCTTGCAATCAAAGAAACAAATAATCAGGTCCATAAAATTTCAATAAACTAAGAGGTTCCTCTACCTTTTACATTCTAAAATCACACATAAAAACTACTTCCACATTCTACTCTGTCAAAATGTAGCTTTCCATACTCTCTAACAAAACCTGTCAAATCCTTTTGGTTCCCTTTGATTCCCAGCTTTCATACAACTTCCTAGGCTTATTTTCCACTAAACAATACCTGAGGTAAATGAGCCATAGTGAAGTTCCTCTGAAAGCTTTGATTATTTATATCTTGTTGCTATGCATTACACTCGAAACATTGCATGTTCTTGAAGCAGTGTTGATTTTTCAATCAATAACATATAAAAAGACCAATTCTGACTGGTTATTTTTACAAATTAAAATTGGATCAGAATGGCTCTTATCATAAGCAATAGAACAGAAAAAAGTATAAATTCAAAGAATTTAATCACTTCTGCCATGCCTCTCCTGACTTACAAAATTTGCAAAGCTAGTAAACAAAGACAATTGATTTGATACTAAGGAAAAAAAACACGGCAGAAGTGAATAAATTCCACACGAAAAATTGTACACCATACGGAAATGAGAACATGGAGAACAATCAAATATAATCAGCTGTCTTGCCATTCCTGCAAAGAATAACAATTAGCCTGGAATTTTAGAGAATTCTTTGTTCTTTATTGATACTCAGCCACAATATCTACATACTGCAGCAACACACACTTATAAGAAAAGACTCAGGGGAGCAAAATGTGCTCAAATTAAGAAATAAACTGTAATTCATTTATGGAAAAAAAAAAATAACAAACCAAAAGGAAAAAAAATAAATAAATAAAAAAAACATTCTGCATGAACGAATGACCAAATCAATGACTATCATCACTCAGCATTAGAAAAACCTTAAAATTATAGATCCCATCCATCATCTACTCTAATGTTTAAATATCATAAAATTAAGTAATACCAAACCATGTGTTATAATTTGCTTCAATACACAGAAATGCCTCTCTATGTTCCCAGTCCCACAGCAAGCTTTGGGAAATGTCAACCGTACACATTATGAAATCAGTCTAGATTATTATGTACACGTTATGAAACCAGTCTAGGTTGTTATCACCTTTTTTCTACAAACTCTACACACTATAAACTCTACATGAATGGACTGCCATTAATTCACTGAGGTAACCGGGGCCTGGGAAGGTAGACCAGCATCTCTGAGTGATGAACTGTATAAGGTCGTCGAAGACTGCATCAGTACAACACACAGCATCATGTATCATTATCAATAAAAAAAGGAAAAAAAAAAACAAAAAGAAAAAAAAATAGAAAAAAAAGGAACAGCGCCATAAAAAAGCATGAGCAAATCTGCACTTCTACAACAATTTGGTATTTTTTTTGTTTGTTTGTTTGTTTGTTAACATGCCTTCCTTTGTACAAAACTAGTGCCTCATCCTTGCTGGTCATGTCATTGTCTTAAGCGTTATCTTCTCTAGATCTTTAAGAATATTCGCATATAAGTTTAAATATGTATATTGATGTGCCATACCTTGCGGACTTATAAAAGAAGAAGAAAACAAATTCTGATAAAATGTGTACATTATTTCAGTATATATATATAAAAAAGACTCCAAATGGAGAGTGACAATGAACTCCATATCAAAATGTGGGCCAACAAAGAAACATAGAGGAGATTGCACTCTTGGAAAGACTTCCTTAAAACAAACATAGGTATAAACTTTGTTAAGTCTCTCCATATATAATGATTGCTTTACCCACAATTTCATAAATAACAACTAAATAAAATATAGATATATATCATATAATATATATATATAAATATATAAATTCTATGATAAAAAGAGATTAATCATGACTAGCGAAATCCTAGAGACAATTAAGATGTTCATCTCTACCCTACTTCTATCTCCATGGTTATTACAATCTTACAATTGCAAGAAACAATTTAGGAATAAGTACGACAGGAAAATATGCCTAAACCAGTTAATAATGATCTATAATTGTACTTCCATTATAATAGTTAGCAAGACATACAACAATAAGCAAAAAAGAAAAAATGAAAAAGCTGAATTCATTAATAATCACCTCAGATCTTTAATTAATAATAAACTAAAAGAGTATTCTAGGACAAAATCCTATTACCAAATTATAAATCAAAATAGTTTGCTACACTTAAATGAAACACACAAACACTCCCTAAACTTCTATATGACTCTTGTCGTGAACCACACTGTCGGGCCAACAAGCTCATCCACTCATCAGAAACAGCGGTTCACAGGTTCACCGGCTGATTTGAACAAGCTTGCCTGAGAGATTCGAGTGTGATCCCACGAAAGAAATATACAAGTCAAGAGCAGAAAAAGTGTCCTCTACCACCTAGTGAAAGAAGTGTCAACTTTTCGAGTAGAGGATACTCAGTATCACTACTCGGTACTTGGAGATACAATAAAACACCAGCGTGGGAATTAAAGGTAAATATGGAGTGAAATGGGCATTCAGTCTTCAATGGCTTATTGGTACGTTTTACAAATCTATTCATAAAAATTATTTTTAAATAAATTATTAGAAGAAAAAAAAAACAACACATGTAAACATTATCATCAGACAAATATGATCATCTTTATTACTAACAAATTTCCTCTGCATAATATTACTGTCATTCATCAATCTTCATTCTTATCAGAACGTTTAATGTAAACTGTAATGACGAGAAACTACAAAGCGAAACGGCTCAACGCCATTTCGTATGTGTTATCACACCTAGCTAACTAAGAAAAAAAAGAACCAGCAAGGATGGCAATATCAAACATCTGGCAGACATATCAGAAGGATCGAGTTTCAGACATAATATAATATGCAGAATGGTGGAGGGTGCAGGGCTAAACTTCGCAGGAGTTCGGTTCATACCAGCTCATTTCACGATCCTGGAATGAACAACACCGAAACTGTCAATCTGAAGGTCACCAATAAACTGTTGTGTCATACCCCTGAACGTCTCAATTGGTACTTCATTTAACAACTCTGGTTGGTGTTTTTTTTTTTTTTTTTTTTTTTTTTTTTAACCTTAAAAGACATTATCATGGATCAGTGGACATACTGCAATGTTCTGAGTCATAATCACCACAAAAAAACTAATTATGTACTTGAAACCAACATAGGAGCAGCTATTTGGTTGGACAGTTGAAAAGGAAAGCAATCTAAGCTTCTTTGATTAATGAAAGCAAATTGTCAATCATGATAAATGAAAAAAAAATTACAAAAATTAAGACATTTTCTGCAAAATAAACACTGTAAAAGGAAGCATAAATTTTGGTTATCTACAGCATAAAACTTGCATGTCCAGTCACTCCTTTCTGACTCAAATAACATGATAATATAATAAAACCTGGTGATCATAATTAGATCGTGCATTTGTTGAAGTACCGAGATTCTGGGCCATCTGGGCAAATATGAGCCTCTTCGGTACGGTGAAAGGTCTTGTCTGTGCAAAATTACTGCCAAAAATTTGTATGGACAAGACTACTTCCCCCCCTAACTGCCCATCTAATAAACCTGTCACATAATATGCAAGATTTGCTTGAAAAGCAAATCCCCGACACACACCCTCTCTCTTTCTCTCTCTCTCTCTCTCTCTCTCTCTCTCTCTCTCTCTCTCTCTCTCTCTCTCTCTCTCTCTCTCTCTCTCTCTCTCTCTCTCTCTCTCTCAATCACACACAGATAGGTATTCACTCACTCGCACATTCGCTCACACGCTCACACACACACATGCTCTCTCACACACACACACATCTCTCTCTCTCTCTCTCTCTCACGCACAGACACACACTCTCTCACACACAGACACACACACACACACACACACACACACACACACACACACACACACACACACACACACACACACACACACACACACACACACACTTGAATCTTACCAGACCTAAAAACAATAATAATAAAAAAAAAAGACTCCATATCACAAAACTGTAAATATGTAAAAAAAAATTAATAAAAATTATCTGTAGAATGATAAGCAAGATTACCCAAAGCAAGTACGTGTAATCTGGTAAAAACTTCAAGATATATATACAAATCAAGAGCAGAACTCTCCTGGAGGAAATAAAGTTAGTAGCCTGGTCCTGCTTTTTCAATCTACCATTTTCCTATTTAGAGCAATCTGGCTATTAAAAACAATTACAAAAAAAAAAAGAAGAAGAAGAAAGATAACCAGATATGTCATTAAGAAGCCATCAATTGCACTGTGCTATCCTGCATCTACATCAGCAAGTCAACTTTCATTTTCTTTTTTGAAGATGTATTAGATTATTCTTATACTGCCTACTCCTCCTGCCAATTAACCAGCTATTCTCCTTCTATGACGAATGAAGAAGCTGAAAGGTTCAATAAGGATGAAAAAAGATTCAGTAAATGGGGAATAGGCCTAATTTAGCAAGGATAATATGACCCGTTTGCCTATCAAAAAATTCTAACAGTAATAAAGTTCATAGAAACACAGAAATGTGTGTATGTGAATGTGTGAGCAACAGCCCGTATGTACGTCTTGCTATTTACAACGTAGGCAAACATATTGGACCAATGTGCCCTCTTGTGATCTTTTGCTATATTAGTATTACACATCACACCCTACTCTCCCTGCAAAATGCACTTTTTTTTTTTTTTTTTTTTTTTTGGGGGGGGGGGGGGGGGCATTTTCCTACAATTCTCTTACTTGTTTGCAAAACCCCCTCTCTCTCACTACCTAATTATAAAAAATAAAAGAGAATCATATCTGGTGCAAAACAGCCAAGTCACCTTTGATCAAGCTATAACTGAAAGTACAAGGAACATCAAAGGTGTCAATTAAAGTGATTATAGAGTTATAAGTTGTATGGTTCATTTAAATACCTAAAACTGGAAAGAAATTACTAAAAGTATTAGAAGAATATACATATATAGTATAGTTGTCTAAATACATACCTATGAATATCTCAGCAAGTATGTGCGTATGTACACTTCTTTAATTAATTCATAAAAAGTATATCAAATAAACATTCATGTCATTATGAAAATAAACCATAGTAAAATAAAATAAAAAAATCCATACCTAAGGAAAAGACACTCTAAAACAGTTTCCTCGAGCCTCCTCAATTTCCCAAGCCACCTATTATTACTTGTAAATGACAGAAGTATATCAACCCTTTAAATAATCCAACTTTGATTCCTATGAAGTCATCAATGATTTTGTTTGGTTCAGCGATCAATAGTCCATAAACTCAAACCTTTCCCACAGTACAGTAACTAATAAAAATAATTCATGAGGATATAGGACAAATGAAGAGGAATTACATGCCAGCAGTGTGTACCCGCCTAATAAATTACGTACAGACAACTATAATCTGGCATAAATCATCCCTAACAAACCAATAAGCAACATATTATTCCCCATTCAGAGCAAGAGCCAAATGCAACCTATACTCAACTTTAACTTCTAGTCCATGTGTCAACCTTAGTAAGTATATCAACAAAATTATATGATCATCAAGTTTAACTATAATATTCAGAGTGATAAAAAAACAAAGAGAATGCAAACTGAAGACTCCTATAAGTTAAATATATGCTATAGCCTCTATACCCTAAACCATTGGTAAATGTAAAATCTAGTGATGTCAAACCAACCAAAAAGCATTCAGCTGTTTTTCTGTTTATTTTACCAATTACTGAGAATCTATGAGAAACACAGCAAGGTCTCCTGCCCACATTGCCACCATTAACACATTAAAAAATTCAAGCTTTACCAAAATCTCTCTCATACTCTAATTGAAAAGTATGTACTAAAAAAACTACAGAATCATGCATCTTCCTATAACTGTAAAGGTAAATAAAGGTTTATAAATGTTGCCCTAAAATTTGAATATGCATATTCCATTAAGCTCTACAACAACCGGATAAACACTAAAGTCCCATCTAAAAAGAAGTGTGTATATATACATAGAATATATACATACATTACTTATGAATATGTCTAATATAGGACATAGAAAAATGTTCATATATCTGAAACAGCCAACATCTACCTATGAGTGCTGTCCTATTACTAAATCCTTACTCCTCCTGAAATTAAAGAGCTACATTATAAAGCTTTCAATTAGATCATGAATATTCTCTATTATTGTACCTTTGCCCTTAACCAATCTACATACATACATCAGATGATAAATTCTGGAATCCTTTCATAATTTTAAAGCTAAAACAGTTTCCCATGGTAATGAAGTGTTAATTCATTTGTGGAAGTTTCTATATCAAATGCCTAGTAACAGTTATAATCAGGTCTTCTTCCACAATTTGTTTTAAGAAACATATAAGTCTTTATAGTGATCTAATCGTCTATAAAAAGTTGTTTGCTGATTTATATAAATTTCAGTTACTAAAAGAGTCCATTACTAGGCTACCTGGTGTCCTCATTTTATCCTATTCCTTGAATTTCAGGAGAGGAAAACTAATCTAAAAAACTTTTGCTGTTGTTAGTAATATAATACTATGAACAACAGTACCAACAATAATCATAATTTTAGGGGGGGGGGGGGGGAATGGTGAAGTAAACGGATTAGTTTAGGAAGGCCTATTATTTGACTCCTTGGTGACAAAATGTTTGTGAAGCCATCTATGTGTAAGCAAAATTGACAAAACTACAGTGGACAGTGTGTGTGCAAGTGTGTGTAACTGTCATAAATAGATACATAGTGTCCCCTGAGATATCTATTAATGTTTGGTAAGTTACTTGGTGCCAATGGCAGAGATATTCCTAGCATATGTGAAAGATCCTAATGGTCTCATTGTGAATTACTGTTATTCTGGTAGGTCTGAAACTATAATAATGTCAAACAAATTATTGAAAACTGAAAAGTATGGAGCAACAGCAATTTTTCAATGCAAATCTAGAAGTTATCTGTTCAATCATTGATATTGGCTACAGTCATGCACACTATAGTTGTGCTATTATTTTTTTTTACACTTAAATGGCTTCACTAGCACTTCGTCACCATGTAGTCTATTCTTAGGCCTACTTGACCTCTGTTTTCCCCCATTCCTAGACTTTTCTGGAAAAAAAATGTTTGAAGTTTTATTAACCCTGAAAGTCATCTGCCATGATTGCAGCTATTCACTGAATGCATAGAAAATCCTACTCTCCACAATTGCAACAGGCCTGTAAAATAGTTGCAGGATCTTTTCATACAGCTCTTTCATTTCATACAATTTTCCCATTGAGATACACATACAATCCACTGACACACCTAGTACCGCTTGGGAAGCTACCTTCAGCAAGACCCATGATTCCCCCCCTCCCTCTCTCTCTCTCTCTCTCACTCCCTATGTAAGCCACTTCCTGCCTGAGCCAATGAAATAGTCATGTTTTCCCACCTCTAATCTTCACACAAATGTAAATTCGTGTGGGAAGTAATAATTTTGGTGCTGTATGGCATATTTCATCTGGGCAAATTCTAGTTCTTTCCTCCTCCTGTAATTCATGAGGGTTACTATCATCCTGACAATAACATTATAATCATTATTAACAGTAGTATCAGAGTAACATTATAATTCACTATGATAGTACTAAAAACTATATTTTCATGAAAATTGATAAAATATAACATTGATAAACAAAATTCACTGTGGATAGGCCATGTATACATATCAGCATCAACAGGTTGGCTAAACACAACAATCATCCAAAACCATATGTTATAGCAAAAACAGAGCAAAAGTACCTAGAATTGTCTGTAAATCTTCCTTAACCTATGTGCTGCTGACACTAGCAATACTGGTACTGATGGGCTCAGCAATGACACTAGCAGGAGTAAACCTATGAAAAAAACTAGAGAAATTGCAAGGTAAAATAATGATAATAATAAAAAAAAAATGAAAAGGCCAAAGTATTCCTGGAACTTGCACTACTCATCAAAATTAAATTCTTTCCACATAATCATACGGTATGTGTTTTATCCAATACAACTGAAACCTAGCTGTGATCCGTGATGAATGGCCTAAAATCTTCGGATGAAACTTATTCATATCTATATGAGCTCAAGCAGCAGTGGCTTACATCCTCTCAGCACTCCAGGGAAAGGTCAACAAACCTCTGCCACACATGTTCTGTCAAGATAGAATCTGGAATCATCGCATATTTAAAGCAAATGCCAGAGAGGTCTATCAAAACTTTCTTTCCAAAATATATAGGGTAGAAGGTTGCTAAAGCACTAACCAGAGCCAAGGGAGTACTTATCAGCACAAGGTTAGTGGCCAACTCTTGGGGTCTTGTAAATATTTACTTGAATTTTTATGGAAATAATAAAAAAGTTAATTGTCCACTATGTTACCCCTCATATATAAGGGGATTCTGCCCTCTGCAAACCACCTTAAGGGAGGTAACCCCATCCCACTGTCCTCTGTGAGGCCCTTTTATATCCAAGTAATTGTTTAAAGTAGAACAGAATTAAGCGATGCACTGACTTCTGTGATTCCCATTCTGGCAAAGGCAAAAAAATATATACATATTTCATGAAAATTCAGTCATATATAGCTTGGACTGGTTCCCAAGTTGATAATAATTCTCCAAACAATCAGCAAGCCGTATCTTATTATTATACCCTTGTCTTCCTAGATATAGGGGAGCAGAGCTTCAGTGGCTCTGATAAACAACTGTGGCCATAACTTTCTGCACACAATGTTAAAAACTTAACAGGGTTGTTTAACTTTTAAAATCTAAACAGCTTTTTAAAATCTATGAAGTCCTATTCTGAGTGTCTATCGTTATCCACCTCAATATGTTCTGACAAAAATGTGCCAAGGCATGTTACAGATTTAAGGGACTATCCCTGCCTCCAACATGGAAATTGGATTGTAAACCTAATAACCATTTCAGTTTTCAAATCTATTTGCAGCTAGCTATTCCAAATGTTTATAGTCAGCCAACAGGCAACTTTCTAAATGACACAGCTGACAAGTTCAAAGCAAAACAAGGAAGCAGAAACTGTTTTTTAAAAGATACTTCTGTTTTATCAATCTATCTCTAACAACTTCATAGGTAAGTATCAATTTAAGTAATACTAATTACTGCTAAAACCTATTTACTTAATCACTCAGTGACAGTATTATAAATCTCTCGTTGTCAAAGACTTTGGTGATTTGTAGCAACCATCCAGCCGCTAGGTACGGGAGCCTGCTACATATAGCAGAACTTAGCGCTTGACATTCTCAAGCACATCACCGCACATAGACATACCTGGCAGATCAAGTGGTTTATTATGACAGCTATACACATGACCCAGCAATAACAGGTTAATATCCTCTTTTGAATAGTTACATTGAATATTTTCTTATAATTAATGACTAGTTCATGAAATCCAACTTCTGGCCTTTCAATAGCTCACAAATATCTGGGTTCTGCTGGTCTTTTAATTTTGCAAGACCAACACCACCTAAAAACCCACATTCCAGCTTGAAGAGGGAAGTCACCAAAGGTAGACCCAGCACCTAGCCTACTGCCTATCTTAACCATGGAAAAAGGACCAAGTTTCCACAATGACACCAAACGACTGTTGTCAATCAGCTGGGTTAACTGTAATTCCATTCAAACTAGAGGTAACTTGACCACACCCCTCAGACCAAGTCCCTATTACCTGACACCCACCCTACTGCTGCATGACCCAAGCCAGTGGCTTTGTCCTCACATCCTCACCCAATTGCCGTGAACTCGGTCTGTGCGCGGCATTTGTCGAGATCTAGTTTCTTAATTTCTGACACTCGCTTTGCCTATGTAGTTCTTTCCTCTCTCTCTAACAATGGCCTTCAATCATCCCTGTATTAGTCGTTTATTACTAAATGAATAAGAAATAAATAAAAGCCCGTGTGGAGACAGAAAAAAATTAGGTAATGGCCATAAATATATACAACCAACATACTATTGCATACATGAATATTAGCAGAAAGTCAAAAGCCCACAATCGCTTACCAAAGATACGCCCACAGTGACAGCAATCAGCACCTTTAGCCATCTGTCTAAAGCCCCCCCCCCCCCATTCTTGATACAAGCTTGCTGACCTCCCCGTCTCCTTATCATCAAACAAGAAACAACAATCAGGGGGATTGCGTCGCAGAATCTGGACCCTAACTGAAATATCGCAACCATTCTCTCAGACCTCGTGATCCCTCCTATTACTCTAACCAATAGCGCGACCTAACTCTACCCTAGAGTGGAAATAAGTCCCAGTTTCGTTGGAAATGGAACCGTCGAACATCTGGTCGGAACTTAGCCTCTCTTAATCATGCAAGTACCTTCCTACTGCTGTGGTATGAGAGTAATATATGCTAACAGGCTAACATGAAACCCCTAATTGTGAATAGGTGTAAAATCCTTTATCCTAAATAATAATAATAATAAAAATACTCACAGGTTTTGTATGATGTAAGTTAATAATTTAATGAAATACACACATACCTAATATGCCAGCCTAACGGAGATAAAAAAAACACACACACATAAAACTACATAAATATCGAATCTATCACATTAAACTTTATAATTATGTAGGGGGGAAAAAACCCGCCCTTTGAAATGAACAAAAAAAACAAACAAAAAACCCGCCCCTTGAAATGAACAAAATAAACAACAACAAGACACAACAACGGCAGATAATCATCATCCAAAGAAAAGAAATAAAACCCTGAAAATGAGAAGCCAAAGGGGGCTCAGTTAGCGTAAAATAATCTGACCTGAGTGAAGTCTTGTTCCACGTCTCCGTATAGATCAATGTCCACCTCCGCCATGTTGATGCGCGGAGGCCTCTTCAAACCTCCTCCTCACCTGTAGGAGAGAGACTTTCGTTATTCCGGGCGGTTGGAGGTCGTCCTGGGAACACTGGCAAGCTTTCGGGCGCGGAAAAGGGGCTGGAGAGGGG